TCTTGTTCCCTGAATTTTTCCGCCCTTAAAAATTCCATGACCTCCGCCGGGTTTGAACCTGCGTACCTTGAGTCATGAGGTGGGAACGTTACCCCTAGACTACGGAGGCCACTGTTTAATCAACTTACTGATTGTGTATCTGGACAGAAAATTCACTCACTCTTGAATCCATTATGTCTTGCTAAATGTCATCCTAAAAACACTGTCTCATTCTAATAACTTTCAAACCATTGGACAGTAACTGTGAAGTGGCAGATATTTCTCTGCACAGACAGTACTTTGTCTGGTGAAATCTGAGACTGAGGATTAATATTTATACACCTGTACAAAGTCAAAATTGTTATTTTACTTTATAGAATTCTTTGAACACATTGCCGAAGAAGCGCGGTTGGATGCCAATATGCCTGTGATAATGAAGAATGCTGTGTATGCCCGCAAAACATTAGCTAAAAAGGCACGGTCCCAGATGCTGGAACAGAGCAGGCAGGAAAATGCCAAGACACTCGGTAAAACCAGGATTATTATCTACTATTATATATCATTTATTTGATTTGGATATATTATTTTGCATGATATTTCCTACTTACAGTATTATACATGTTTAACATTTGCATGGTGTTGTAGATAGTGTCAATGGAATGAAAAATATTGTTTTAGGGATCGACCTTGATGATATACCTACTTCTGATGCACCTTTAAAGAGGTCTTTATCAATTATGATTTCTAAGAAAAGTTTAAAGCCTCATCTTACTAGGACCACATCAACGAGATCCTCAAATGGTAAGTACATACTTAATGGCTATTATGAACCAAAGTACTCCAGTACTTATCATTAATCTTTAGTTTTAAATTGTTATTCCATATAACTCTAATTTTGAGTACCTCAGCTGCACAGTACCGGCTATGCACTGGTCTAATGGGATTTGTTTCTAGCAGGGGCAGGAATTGATCTTGCCACTATATCCAGACTAGCTCTGAGGCTCACCACGTATAAGGGAGTACTTTCCCAGGGACTCATTGGCTCAAGCAAGAAGCTGAGTACTTGGCTTCATTTAATACTAAGATTAGGAATGTGTGGACTTTTGTCTTACCTTCTCATATATATATATATGTAGGGTGTGTCAAAACTTCAGGAACGGACTCCTCATATAGAGAGGAGAAAGAAAGTGTATGACAACATGGGAACATGGGTCCGGAAATGTATAATTACAGTATTATATTTAAGCATCCTGTTGCACTCTACACAACAAATGACACAAACTCCGTCCCAAGTGCAAACAATATATATTATACGTCTTTGATCTTGCTCTCTTCTACACTACATGTTTCGGCCTCTAACGGCCATCATCAGGTGTATGCTCTTACGTTACTGCCACACTGAACCCAGTCTAAAATTTAACATTTAAAAAACACATTGTTACTTTCTTCGTTATTATCAACATTACGTCGTTGATATCTGTCTGGTATGTAGATTATTTTGCACACTTCAATTTTGGTTTTCCTGTAGTAGCACTATAAAATCTTTAGTTATAATTTTAAAATCCTTTAAAATTTTCTCTAAATTTTAAATTTAGAATTGTTAGGGTTACTCGCCCTATGTCGTAAAGTGCTGCAGTGGCTAGTTCTTGTTTCCACACTGTACAGGTGTTATTCTGTGTGGTCTTGCTGTGTGCGTGCCACTGCACATGTAGTAAAGACAAGCAGCGGCATGATGGTGCTCCCACACATTTCAGTCTGTCTGCCCGCAGCCATCTTAATGCACATTATCCTGGGTGCTGGATAGGTAGAGGTGGACCGATTGCTTGGCCACCATGCTCTCCTGACTTAAACCCCTGGACTTTTACCTGTGGGGACATTTAAAGTCTGTCGTGTATGCGACTGCTGTTGCTGATGTACCAACTCTCCATGCGCACATTGTGGCAGCCTGTCAGACAGTACGCACTACACTGGGCATTTTTAATTGTGTGCGGCACTCAGTGCAACAACAAGCAGAGGCCTGTATTCAGGCAGGAGGAGGTCAATTTGAACATTTCCTCTGATATGTGACCAGAGTGTTGCAGCTGTTGTTACAGACGTATTCAGTGTAACTGCAACAGTGTTGGGGGTGTCGGATTGCACTAACGATACTAAAAGTTCAGATAACTCTGTAATTATGCATTTCCAGAACCATGTTGTCATACACTTTTTTTCTCCTCTTTATATGAGGAGTCCGATCCTGAAGTTTTGTCCTTGAGTTTTGATACACTCTGTATATGTCCATGTAGTGGAGCTTCCAGTTTTGTCTTTACATCTGTTGACATTAGTTATCATAGTATCACATTATTGAATATTCAATTTCATTCCAGTGTACTACTATATAAATGTTTACCAATTTATACACATTAAAAATAAGAATGTTCTTACCTCAGTGCTGCTGTACTAAGGTACTCAACAGCATGATTTGCAGGCATCCACATCGATAAAACCCAGAAAATCAGTGATTCCTAGAGGACCTTAAAATGCTTTTTCTGTTTCAGCCATGTATATGTTTATTGGTTATTTCCAGATAAGAATATTATGCCATATACTTGTGAGCCAAATAATGCCTGAAGTTCACAGAGAAAACCATATTTTCAGTTGTCTTTTTCTTACTTCCATTACTATTCTGTTACAATATTCTACACATATAATATTCATGGTTGAGCTTAACCCTTTCCCACTTGTGACAGGGATGTTTCTTCTCAGATGAATTCCAGGAAGTGAAATACAGAACAAAATTATAGTCAGACAATTAATGTTCAAGTAGGTGGTTCCATTGAATTCATATTCCTTTCCATTTTCATGTTAAAACAATTTCTATCTGTTGGAGGTAATTTTACACTAATTTTGACTTTTTGAACTTGGGTAAGTTTTACAATAAGCACAGATTCCAATTTAATTTTGGTTTTATTTACTGTTACCACGGTTATTACTGCCACCAAGCTGAGGTACCTGGTCCTTGCCTGAGACAGGGTTATTCTCCTTGGTAGTATCGCTGCACAGAGTAGCTAAAATTTTTAAGAAGAAATAACATCCAAATTATGAAATTAAAATTTACTCATGTAATAAAAAGAAGTTGGGAATGGGGATTTGAACTGCATCCAAAAACTCTTACCACAGAACTTGCACCTAATTTCACAGTCATGGCTGTAACACATATTTGCAAAAGTACTCATATGGAGTAAATTTCATACCAATTAGGTTCACAGTAGGAAACAAAACAGAAACCTTACATCTGTATATTTGTTTTCCTTCTCATCGTCATTACTCTAAAGCCATAGCTAATCTGTATATTGGCAAGAGTACAGAATACTATATGTCATAATATCTTTGAATGTCTGTTATTGGGACCATGGAAGAAAAGAGAAAACTCATGTTAGAAGGTAATGATCTAGGATATTGGGAAGAGAGCGAAATGGCAAATTGCTGATGGGAAGCATGATTATATAAAGTCTTGAAAATGCTGCATACTATGTAAGTGTGAAAGTGTTCATTCGTCATACAATGGCTTGTTGTTTTTCAGGCATAGCATTTGGTAATCAGAGCAAGAGTAGTGACTCTGATGGTAAGTCACCAGACAAGGAAAATCACCTGCCCACCCTTGAAGATGGTGACCATCTGTAGAATGAAGGAGAAAGAATTTATGCAGACTCCTTCATAGGCCTTGAACCAAAATCTTTCACCTCAGTGCTGTACTGGGTATGATGCCTTTACAGGGGTTTCTGTTGCATATGGTTTCAAACTGTATCTTTCCACATTCCATTTAGAGAAGTATTATTATGTATTCTGAGCAAAAATGCAATGGTTTAAAAAGCCAACCTTCAAATTAATATTTTGTTTCAAAGAAGTATAATATAGGTATTGCCAGTGTACCTCATAGATATAAAACTGTTAAATACAGATACTTTTATTTTTAACTTTGTACTGAAATGAAATATGGTACTGAATCTGTATTAGTTACAGCACCAGAAGGCCATGACACATCACAACAGATGCTGTTTCCTTCAGTTTTCATCTCTCTATTGCAGAGAGAAATGTTCATCCACATTCCTCAGAGACAGTTGCGCTATTTCAAGTGGTCCACATGGACATCTTTTACTTCAACTTTTGAGACATAAGCACTTTGAAACCTAGCTAATTCCAAGGATTAAGTTTATGCAACCATATATTTGGACTAACTATGAAAGCTTGGTAAGATGGTGAAATTATTTTTTTATATATTGCCTAAATTACCATTTTTTGGTACTGTTTTGTGAAAAGCCATTTACTGACTGTGATATAAATTTCAAGAAAAAGTTATAAATCTTAGACTGCATATCTGGGTGTATTTATATATTACCTATTTGACAGTCTTGATAAAGAATTTTTTCTTTCAGAAAATCTGCCTCCTTTTCTAAAAAATATGAAGCAAAAGTGCCAGTATATTCTGTCCTGTATGTACCGTGTACATATTTGTAGAGTCTGGTTAATTTTAAAAGTGTCAAATATATACACAGTAGTTTGTTTTGGGGGTTAAAATTTTCAACTTTGAACACATTTCCTTGCATACTATTTATACTTTTACCCATTCTACCACACAGAGTGTGACTACCGTATACGCAGTAACAACATTTAATTATATCTGAAGTTGTGATGTGTTTGGAACAGTGGAACCTCGCTTAACGAGTAATTTGCATAACGAGCCAAACAAATTGTAAAAAAATGACTCGCTTAACGGGCAACGTTTCACATAACGAGTGACAAGAGGGGAAGTCCCGGATTGTGTGCTTGCTACATCAGTCTCTGTTTAGCACTCGTTCCGCTAGCATCTTAGTGTCGCTTGTGATCACACATTTTTCCAACTTGTGTTCAGACATATTATTTGTGATTTTTTTGTGCAAAGTTTAATAACCCTTGCAAAAATGTCGCCGAAGAAAAAGCCGCAAAAAGATAGCCATAAGGGAATAAAAATAACCATAGAAATGAAATGTAAAATCATTGAAAAGCGAGAACGTGGTGTGAGCGTCGCTGATCTAGCACGCACATACAATCGGTCTACATCAACGATTTGCACTATCCTCAGGAACAAGGACAACATTAAGGAGATAGATGCTTCAAAGGGAGTGACAAGAATATCTACAAAACGGTTATGTATTCTTGAAGATGTTGAAAGGTTGCTCCTCATATGGATTTTTTTTTTTTCTACAAATCGAATTTGCATTCCAGGTTGGTTCATTCCGCATAGAAGAAAAGATGAAGATTATTCACACTCCTTAACAATGTATATATAATTTTCTTTGAATAAACGTTATACATATTTTTTTTTTAGTATTTTTTTCGGCATGGAACGCATTATCATATTTTACATTAATTTATATGGGAAAAATTGCTTCACTTAACGAGTGTTTTGTATTACGAGTAAGATTATGCTCGTTAAGCGAGGTTCCACTGTAGATTGTATTACACTGTGAACTGTAAAACTGTCTTGATCCAGTACACAGTAGCAATCATGGGTGCTGTGGTGGAAGGGCAGGGGGTCGAACATCTGTCCCCCCCCCCAAAAAAAAATATGGACAAAAAATCTAAATTGAAAAAAGAGTGGAAGTGTACCAAATTCTAATAGTAAAGTGTAAAATTAATTGTAAATGTGGTGCCATTGTGTTTCAATGTAGTGACCCTAGAGTGATCATTAGAAATATTTTAAACTCCTAAAATGTAACTTCATAAGCAAATCCCCCCCCAATCCTGGCAATGCCCATGGTACCAGTGCACTACTTTGTGACAAATACTTGTGCGCACGAATCTCAAAGGTGATAGAACTTGCAGCAGGTGCTGCATAGTGTGTACTTACTTACTTACTACTTTATAGCAATATTTGCTTTTGGAATGTGGTATCATATTGTTATTCTAGGTGTAAAATTAATATCTGTGGAAAATTACAAGCAATTAACGTACCCTAATGTTGAATTCCAATTACCCAGATATAGATGTATAAGCTGCTAATCACCATATGATATGCCTTAGTTTGAATATCAGGTGACCTGTTCGCCATTGTCAGAATTCCAAGACTGAATGTAATTTTATAAAGAAAAATACTTATCACAGTAAAAGTATTTGTCACCGTTAAAATCTTGTTCATGTTTAATGTGATAATATTTTTCTTACTATCTTTTACATTATCTGGTATTATTATACTGAAATGCACAGGTGCCTCAGTAGAAATATGCAGTCGACACTGAACAAAGCTACAAACACCAACTGATTTCCAAGGTCATATAGTTCCAGCATGTAATGTTTCATGTACCCAAAGAGGAAGAAATTTCTTTCAGGCAGTTTATTTTACAATGCTGTCAGTATCAACTATATTGCATTGAATGATAGGATGACTGATGAATTGGAAAGGATTTGAAAGGAAGTAGTTGTGGCCTCATCAAGGTACTATCATGACATTTGCTGAGAGAAGTGTACATATTCAGGATCTGTTACTGAGTCCTTCATCTTCCTGATTTATATTTCATTATTTTCCCATTATTTTTGCTAGGTCCCTCATTATGCTAATATCTTATATATGTATATTATTTGTTTTATGCTTAAGCATCTAGCAGCCATGTTTCAGGTTTCCTAAAAATTGTTTGTAGTACTTTATCCTGCACAACAAAATAGGTACACATTACATCATCATGACAATGCAGATATATGTACACTCCTGCAAGAAGTTTTAAATCAATTCATATTCAACAGGAAAGAGATTTTACAACATGTTTCAGATTCCTATTGTCAGCAATACAATTGCAGCTTCATATTCTATATATTCCATGTTTTAATCTCTGTCTAGAGTCCAGGTATTCCAAGATTATTCATGATATATTTCAATCCCTGCAGTAAAATGATGGTACAGTACCTTAAGTAGGCCACAGTCACATCCTTCTACATTTTTTCCATTTCAACAACCATTTACGTCCTGCCTCTTGATGCTGTAAAATGTATGCAGTTCACAGTCATGATAAATAAACCAAAATACTAACAACATGGATATTGAAAAATCAGCCAGTCAGTCAGTACTTAACTATGAATATTGTGCCATTTAATAGGTTAGTTTAGGAGTAACCCTCTAGACCTATATGTGGGAGGTGCTTAGTTTCTTGTCAGGTGAAATCAGCTATCTTGACTGAGACCAAGGATGTTCAAAATTATTACATCAGAGGAAACAAGCGAAACTTAAGTGGTTGCAGGATCGAAGCAAAATAAATGGGGATAAACTGAACAATATAAGACATGAAACCAGCAGGCATTTCAAGAACAATAAGAATATCTGAAAGACAAAATTGATGGGCTTGCAATGAACAATAAGACCTGTGAGTGGTTAACAACCTAGAAGTAACTTAGTGAAGGATGAGAATGGTGAGCCGCTTGCAGATTCCCACAACATTTTGAATAGGTGGAAGAAATACTTTTCTCAGTTCTTGAATGTACATAGGGTCATTGATGTTAGGCAGATAGAAATACATACAGCTAAGCTGTTAGTACCTGATCCTAGCCCATTTGAGGCTGAAATTGCTGTTACTAAGTTGAAAAGTTATAAATCGCCAGGTAGTGATCAGATTCCGGGAGAACTGATTCAAGCATGGGATGAAATATTATATTCTAAGACCCATAAGCTAATTAATTCTATTCACAATAAGGAAGACTTGCCTGATCAGTGGAAGGAGTTCACAAGAAGGGTGATAAAACTGACTGTAGTAATTATCATGGGATATCACTTGTATCAAATTCATACAAAATGTTATCACATTTTTTGCATTTGTCAGATACTGGAGAAAAAATGGCAGTACAGTGAGACAGTACATCAGCTATTCATAGACATCAAGAAAACTGTGATTCACCCTTGAGGGAAGTATTTACAATATTCTCACTGAGTTTGGGGTACCTGTGAAACTAGTTAGGCTGATTGAAATATGTTTAAATGAAACCGATGGTAAAGTCCATATAGTTAAACATTTGTCTCATAGGATTTGAGGTTTATATGGTGGTGACTATGAAGAAAGCGGTCTTCTGGGATGTGGCGCCATGTAGATGTGGTATTAACCAACGTTTTGGAGGAACGTATCGCCTCCATCTTCAAGGGTAGAAGGAAAAATAAGAAAATCTGCAAGCAAATAAACAGTGAGAGCAGGTGCAAGCAGACTAATGTCGGAAATAAACTCAACTGTGAGAGCAGGAAAGGAAGGGACAGGTCTACATGGGAAATCAGTGCAGGAGAGGGGAAGGGAGCAGGAGCAAGGTTAGAGGAG